AATATGACCGGATTTCAATTGTTTTCGGAGTGCAGTGAAGGAAGAAGAGATGGTGGCATATTTGTCGTTATAAAACAATCCTGGATGTCCGATCAACTGGCAATTTCTTGTAACTACGCGGAGGTTTTGGTATTTTGTTTGTCTAAACGGGAGGTATCTTTTGTCATTTGTGCAGTATATAGACCGCCCAGTGCAAATACACCTTGCTTTCTCGTTTAATTAAATGAAATCTCTAAAAAAATTAATAACAACAAATACTTGCTTGCTGCTGGCGATTTCAACATAGATGTAATGAATGGGGCTAAGTACGGTGTGTCTGATTATCTATATTTACTAGCAGGTTTTAGATTACGAAATATAATTAATGATTATAATAGGGGAAAATACTTGGGGTCCCGCATAACAAAGTAATCTACTGACCATGTCATTGTTAGAGGAAGTGATCTTAAAATAGTTTCACGTGTTATTAGACAAAAAGTTGCTGATCATTATTTTATAGCTCTGGCAATAATAGGGGTGAGTTCTGAGGAAACCGGGCGTGCGGTATACAGGCGCATTCTCAATAACAATAAGATTGACAGAATGACACGATAATATAACTGGGCCTCCCTCCTAGCTTTTGATCATATTACCACTTACCAGATGCTTGGGAATAATTTGAGGTCGATATACGAAAAGTGTTGGAAAACTGTGAAACTAAGACAAAGAAATCCACAAAATGCCTGGATAAACGACGAAATATTGACACTAAACCGTGAAAAGGATAGGTTGTGGAACATTTGTAAAACAAGACCACATGATCTGATAATTAAAGGGGAGTTTAGAAAACTACGCAATAAGGTAACTTCCAAAATAAGACTGGCAAAAAAAAAATCATTATACAACTAAATTTCAAACAAATGCGAGGGAATTCTGAAGAAAACTTAGGATTGGATAAAGGAAATTACGGGCAGTAAAGAGAAGCAAAACATAGACGAAACAATTGAAAAAGCTTTTGGTAGTAACAATGTTACTTCTTTATGCAACCGATTTAATGACTTTTCTTGTTCAAAGGATTGCGGATCTGAGAAAAGTACAACTTGAAGAAGAATCGAATAGCTGCGAGAATGGTGTGCACTCAGCTTACTTGCCTCAGATGACAGAGATAGATCTTAGACGCATAATAAACAGCATGAAAGCGTCAAAACCTGCGAGGAATGGTTCCGTTCGATTAAGAGACATTCAGACAAATTTCGAGGTATTAAAAGACGTTTTAATAAAAATCATAAAGGAATCACCATCATCAGGGAAAGTTCCAATAGAATTGAAAACAGTTGTCGTGAGACCATGATATAAAAATGGCAGTAAAAAATAAATTAGGAATTATCGACCCATTTCAATATTGCCAATCATAGCGCAAATGATGAAAAATTTTATTTTTAATACTATGACATTGTATTGCGAGAAGTTGTGTTTAATAAACAAGTCTCAGTACGGATTACGTAAAAATAGAAGCGCTGAACTTTTGCTGGAGGATCTTTTAGATTATGTTAACTACAGCCTTGATAGGAATCAATTTGTTTCAGCCCTATTTTTAGATATAACAAAAGCTTTTGAAACTATCGATCATAAGCGGCTATTAATAAAACTAAGGAATATGGGTTTTAGAGGTCCCTTCAACGGCGTTCTTGAAACACTATTACAGACAGATATCAGTTGGTCAAAATTGGCAAGTTTAAAAGTAGATTAACATCATTTAGCTCGGGAGTACCCCAGGAATCAATACTGGGACCCCCTTTTATTTAACATTTATATAAAACAAATTTAAACTCTACCTTATACATCTCGATTGTATCAGTATACGGACGATACTGCCTTGATATTAGGGCACAGTGACGAAAAAAATGCTTTGTCCATTTTTCAGAAAGATGTTGAAATAATGAGTTGTTTTTTTGCTAATCAGATCTTTGTTAATTCCAGTAAAACAAAACTGATGTTTCTGAAGTCCGTATAGATATTTACATTTTAGCACTCCATTATTTCTCCACTCACAGAAATGCATTTGTTGCAGTTGTGTAGCATTAGATCATGTTACAACAACTAAATATTTAGGATTGCACCTAGATCAAAATCTCCCGTGCAATGAGCATGTAGAATATCTTATCTAAAGAGCGCATGTCGTCTCGATTTATTTGTACAGGATGCGTAGTGGTAGCGACAATGTCATTACGAAGTAAAATGTAGGGTGCACTGGGTGAGTCTATTCTCCGATATGTTATCTCTTTCGTGGAAATGGAGCGTGCTGGTTAAGTTACGGTGTTTGTGGAGACTAACATAGAGGACGAAAACAGGACGATACGGCGTGTGTTCTAATTATAAAAAGAAAAACTTAACAAAATACTACATGAAATTGCAAGTAATATTGTCACGAACGACAACTGATGAGGCGATAATAAAAACAAAAAGGGAAACAGAAGAAAACCGCAAAGCGTCGCGGGCGTCGATGTCAGCGAAACTGCAGGATCGAGCGCAAGTTGAAAGAATAAATAAAATGACAGTCCGCTGACTGGAATCGAACCTATACCTTCCGCGCGACAGTCGAGCTTGGTTACCACTCGGCCACGCACGCGCTTGCTCGCCAGCGTGCGTGGCAATATTACTTACGAAGAACCTACGCAAGGTTGGAAATGAGTCAGAAAATGTATGTCTTAAAGTTGTTATTCTTAGAAAAACTGCGCTGCTACGTTATTTTAGTAAAACACTATTATAAGAGAAATTTTAAAATAGCATTACAAAAGGAACGAACACTTAGGCGCATAGAAAGTTTTGTTATTCCGAAGATTTACACAAATAGGCTTCTGGAAACTTACTGTAACATGGTCACTGAAACAAGTAAAATACAAGTAAAATATGAACTAAAACATTGGTGTCTGACTTTGCAAATTTAACCAGTACATCAGTGCTTTCGCGGGCCTGCATGTGTAACATGTTTATGATCTGAATAAAATTATTATTACTATTATTATTAATATTATTATTATTATTATTATTACAGGCATGATCATTTAGCCTTATCACGTTGCCGTCGCTCCAGTGTTTCCTACATCCTCTAACTAAAAAAAACGAAATGATTGGAACGGCCACTTAAATTTCTGGTGTTCATTTATTTTTTCGCTGTATTTTTTTTGTCTCTTTCCAACCCCTTCCCCTACGTCCTGGGAGGAGCGGCTGAGCAATGACACCGCCACCGGCCAGCAATGGCTGGTGGACAGTGCCGAGTCGGTGGTCGCCACTTATGAGGCCCCAGTTGCCGATGCTCGTCTCGCCTGGTTGGCGTCTCGCGCTCGCATTGTAGCCGAAGTTGCCTCTCCTTGTTCCGCGAGACGTATTCGTTTGCTTGGCATCTTGATCGCGTTGCAGCCAAAGTTGCCGTTTTTTTTTTTTTTTTTTTTTTTTTTTTTTTTTGTCAGTTTTGCTGGCTTTCTTATTGGTTCTTGCCTCTTGAGCTTTACACAAACGCCTCTCACGTTGTTCGTCAGTCTCCTCGGCAGTCTTGCGGCTCATCGGCATTTTTATTTGTCTTTTTTATTTATTTACTTCCAATACTGGAGACAAGCCTTAACCCCATTAGGTTTGTAGCAGGGTTGTACAGTTTGAAGTATTACGAGCGAATACAATATTCAACACAAAGTTTGCAGTTCAATATTCAACGCAAACATGGAAGCCAAGAATAAAAAAAAAAAAAGGAGTAAATAAGTTCGATACAACAGATACATTGCACTTTGGAAAACTGCATAAAATATTAGTTTATGATGAAATGTGGGCATCTGAGTAATCGAGAAAGATTTCAATTGAAGATAAATGAACGAGGCAGGTGGTTCCATTCGTTAATGGTTCGGGGGGAAAAAGAGAATTTAAAGCAGTTATTATGGGCGACGTCTTGCTCATCAAGCTTGTCATAGTTGTACCGTGTTAATCATTTCCTTGTGTGGATTATATTATTTTTGTTGGTAGGTTAGAATGATCGTTTGCTAACTCGTATAGAAGTTAAGTCTGGCCATTTTCGCTCTGTTTTCTAACGAGGAGAGACACGGTTGCCTGCAAAGTTCAGAGGGAGAGACGTGCCTACTATATTTATTGCAAATAAACCTCGCTGCCATTCTTTGAACACTTTTTTACCTTATTGATGCCAGATACTGTGTGTGAGAACCAGACGACGTTGGCGTACTCGAGCGTAGGACGTCTAAAAGGTTTGTAGGCTAGTAATTTAGTGGCAGGAGATCCAAATTTTAAAACTCGTTTAAGGCATGATTTCAACATTCGGAGAAGCTCCTCCACCGCGGAGTGGAGGCACTGCGGATCACGGGGTCTTTCCGCGGCAGCCAGTGGCGGCTTCGCTGGTCACGAACAGAAGGGCGGACACGAAAGTGCGAATGGTTCGCTCAGAAATGCTATCGTATTTCAAAAATAGTAATGTACACGCCCACTCAATTAGCATATTTCGTTCTCTTGGTGAGTAATAAATTTTGTTGACCACCTACTAACATGTAGACACAACTGAATCTTAACATTTATTGAACTTAGGGTCTTCATAGATACGAAAGGTAACCATATTTTTTTTTCTCGCTTGCGAGGAAGGCATCAAAAACGGCACGGGTCCAGTTTGTTCATGATCACATAAAAAGCGCCGAAAAACACTCAAGGACAGGAACGCGTACGAAACAGGGCGCTTTTTTGGTGCAATGAAGTTTTAGCGCCCTGTATCGCCCACTTTCTTGTCCTTGCGTACTTTTTTTTTTTTTATGTGTGTGTTTTTCTAAATGCAACGAATGAGCGGCATTTTCTTGGAAGCGCTCGCCCTTGCCACTGTCTCAGAGTGCCACGACCTCGTTGACCGCTGCCGCAGACTACGAAGCTTCATGCGGTTCGACGACCGCGACGGGCCCGACGCCCCCGGCTGCGGTGGAGGCGGCGGCGGCGGCAGCGGCACCTGGTGCCCCGAGCAGCGCGACCTGCTACGCCGCGACGTGGAGACCCTGGACCTGCTGGTGCTCAAGCTCGAGGGCCTGGCGGGGACGCTGAGGGACGCCATGCATCTGTCGTCGTCGCAGAGCTCGCCGCAGAGCCCCGGCTCACCCGGATGCCGCCGCGTCGAGACGGCGCCCTACTTCATCCGCTTCCAGCTGCCCATCGTCGCGCTGGTCCAGGCGAGGCCCGCTTTCCAACCTAAAGCCGCCGCGGTCGCTCTATGCTAATACATCGCACAAAAGGCAGTCTGCAGACTCTTCCTCGTAGGACGGTCAGATCGATCATACCGTCCGCAGACGTGCTTGAAGCATGTACGAAGCCAACATGCTCGGGGCCTTTCCGAAGCCAACTCTGTCGTCCTGTCCTTTTGAACGATATGTGAGCAGTGTGTCTACGGCTTAACCGAGGCCGCATAGGTTTATTTATTGCTCATTTGGACTGGAATGATAGATGCAAGGATGGATGCGGCTCAACTCCTCGAATCGGACGGCGACCTGCGCCACCGAGCTTGCAAAGTACGTTTGCCGCCTCGCGGATTCCCAGCGAACTACATGCTCGTTATCACGTGGCCTGCGAGATTTCTGGTTCACCGGTGATCTGGGGGCCGTCATATTCATTTCAAAGGCCGTAGTTTAAAAACAAACAAAGAGCTTGGTTAAACATGAAATAGCGCAAACAAGGAGACAAGGACAAGACAAGCGCCAACTTTCTAGTTTTACGCAGGAAAAGCAAAGCATATATACACACTACACTCGAAGCAGCAACAGATAAAAGCTAGGAAGTCAGTATCCGGTCATGCAAAAACTGAGATTCATTCCCATGGAGCACAATTAACGTGTCGCTAACACATGTCGTCCCACTTTTTTTTTTCTTTTTTTTTTTTTTTTTGATAAAGAACGCCTAAAAAAGCACAGTCTCACGGCTTCTCCTCAGAATCCTTATAAGCTGAAGTCGCGGAACACAGCCACACATGTTGCAATGTATTGGCAAATGCGAGCCATATTTATTTTTTACTGGTAATGCGTGTTCTCCCGAGCTCGGTCATTGATGCACCGCCCCGTGTGGCCGATGTAGACCTTACCACAACTCAGTGTGATTCCGTAAACCACACCCACTGTGCTGTCCACCTAAGGGGTGGCGTGTTTCTTATCACATGGCCTTTTGCTTTCTCATCAGAGATGCAGGAGCACAACCCAGCCAACTTTTTCGGGGCAGAGAATACAACGGGCACATCGTATACTTGCTTGCCACTTTCTTCAGATTGTGGGCAACCTTGTAGATGTCCAGAATAATTTCTGGTCTTTTTGTTCTCTCTGCCTCGAACCTCGCTGCCTTTGCGGTACCCGCTTTCTACGCTTCGACCTTGCTTTTAATTGCCAGAATCATATTAGAGCCATCCTTTGGAACGAACTAAAAAGCGACTCCTTTGAGCTCTTCAATTTCGTCTTGCGAATGACCATCGTTCCTTTCATTATCGCAGACCGGCGTCTACGAACAAGAGATTAGAAGGATTAGAAGTTCGACCATTAAGTTCTATTGTACATGCTGACTGCATCTAACGCTCAGTCGTGCGGAACATTCCTGCAAAAAAAATATCTGCGCTTTATTTTTTTCAGATTTTTTTTTATTGGCGGCGTTTCACGCACAGAAGTATGCTATGAAACCCAAAATTTTCTCTCAAAACTCATTAAAAAAATTGACATTTTTTAGCTTGTTATTAGTTATGTAAAGGCTCCAGAAGTTGAACCTTTTATACTGTATATACAGGGTGTTTCACGAAAAGTGGACAAATGCGATATTGTGAATCTACTCGTCGCAACGAAAAAAGGCTTGTGTCGTTTTGGTCGTGGACCTGGGGTCTATTTAGGAAAATTATGAAAGTCCGGGATAATTAGATTGTTAATTATTTCCGTGTATTTAACATTTTCTGAAGAAGTAGAAGCCGAATTAAAACACGAAATACAAAGTTGCTAGTGAGCGCTGTGTGAGAGGAGTGTTCTTTGGGTGTGTGAATGCTTGAATGACAGTTTTTCGAGTGCGCTAAACGTCGACAGGCATGATTTCAATTAGAAAATTGCTTAGAATCACCGAAAAACATTAAATCAACGAATTGCATAACGATAGAAGGCACACGAAGCATTTTACGGCTTGCTGAAAAACCGCTCAAATTCGTCGGGTTTTTAAGTGTCGGCAACGCAGCAGAGGCTGGTTGCCCTATTTCTCCACGGGGCGCGGTGCCGTCGGTGCCGAGATGCGCTTTGATTCCAAACCGAAACTTAAAAACCCGACCAATTTGAGGGGTTTTTCAGAAAGCCGTAAAATGCTCCAATTTGCTGTTTTAGGGTTTTTCGATGATTCTGAGCCAGTTTCTAATTAAAACCATGCCCTTAAACACAATATTAAAAAAGTTAATTACACGAAAATAATTAACAACCTAATTATCCCGGTCTTTCATAATTTTCCTAAATAGGCCCCTGGCCCAGGACCAGAGCAACACAAGTCTTTTTTTTTTGTTGTTGCGACGCGTAGTTTTCGCAATATCGAATTTTTCCACCTTTCGTGAAACACACTGTATATATATATATATATATATATATATATATATATATATATATATATATATATATATACACATCAACCCATGTTAACAAAAAAACTGGAGCGCCCCTAGCGGACGCCACCGGCGCCGCTCATGCGCGGTGGACGTTGGGCAAGAAGCTCGCCGTCGCCCATAAACAAACAATTGAATTGCGTTGTTGTCGGCGTCGGTGTGAGTTCCCGTGCTCTTTTTCGCGGTGGAATTGTTGATTCTACGTCCTCCTAACAATATCTGACTACTTGAGCGGCTTCAGCAAAATTAACGAGGCTCGTTACACCGCAAAACTTTGCGTGAATAATGTGACGTGCGGCGATTCATTTCACGTGGACGCCGCAGAATGGGCGCTAAAGCCTGACTCCAACGATGAGATTCATCTCGCCATTCTCAGTCGCGACGTCGCTCGGGCTGCAAAAGCGTGGACCGTAGCTGAGATGGTGAACGTCGATACTGAAAACCGCAAGTAGAATCGGGCATTACAAGTCGGTGACGGCCACTGGTAACAATGATCAACATCTTCTTGTATCTACTGTTTACACTTAGCCTACTTACCCCAACCCACCTTCAAACTTAGAAGTCCTTTGAGGCCTGCAGTTACTTCTTATCGCAATTACCGGGGCAACGTTTGGAATACGGGCCGCTGTGGTTTGAACGAGCTGACGACAAAAAGCAGACAAGTTTGAAGGAGCAGACGACAGTTCGAACGGATGCGCAATGGAGTGCGAGCAAGAAGAACCGCGTCCCGCGTCGACAAACCATTGGAATGTCACGTTGTCGGCGTCTGTGTGAGTCTGCATACTCTTTTTCGCGTTCGAATCGTTGATTCTACGTCCTCATAGCAATGTCTTAGCACTTTAATCGCCAGAGCGAAATTATCAAGGTTCGTTAAGCCGCTAAACCTTGCGTAAATAATTTGGCGTGCGGCGATTCATTCGCATGAACGCCGCAGAGTGGACGCCAAAACCATGATGAGATTCTTCTAGCTATTTTCGGTCGCGACGTCGCTCGTGCTGCAAAAGTGTAGAAGGTAGCGGCGATAATCGACGTCGATACTGAAAATCGGAAGCGGGAACACACCAAGCGTAACAAGTCGCTGATGGCCACTGGTACCAATGATGAACATCTTGTATCTACTGTTTACACCGAGCCAACTGAAGTCTTTTGAGGCCTGCAATTACTTCTTATTGCAATCACCGCGGGCCGCTTTTGTTTGAACGAGCAGACGACAAAAAGCAGACAAGTTCGAAAGAGCAGACGAAAGTTCGAACGATCAGGCGGCCGTGTGAATTTGAAGACGCACTGAACTCGCGGGTGGTCCGGACAACTTGGCGGTTTCCTCTCGTTCGTGTTTGAACACAACAACTACGTCTGGCGAGCACAAAGTGTTGCCCGCACAAGCAATCGTAGTTCGACAGCGTCTGGTTTGCCCTTGTCACGGCTACTATCCACGTTCTCGGACGAACGGAGGAGGCAGAAACACATGAAAACTGTTTTTCAAACCTTTCCAGACTCTCTTGATACAGCCCCCGTCGCAGCATTTCGACAAGGCAGGTTTTTTTGTCTGGTTTCTCCCAGAATAACGCAGGAATGCATGTCTCGCACCGCGACTTCTGCCCACCACCCCAGACCGGAAGTGCGCCCGACGCGCCACCACCGCGGCGTGACGTAGGAGAGTTGAGTTCGTGTGTATATATATATAGTGTTTTTCAAAGTCTAAAAATGCTTCACAAAAAAAGAAAATCGACGTGAAGCTTTTCTTGGCAACAATAACGTAAAAGCAGAATTAATTGAAGAGGTGGGGCGTCAGTGGAGCGAACACGATCGCGCTTCCGAGGGAGCAGCGCCATGGGCACACTTCCCGCGTTTTGCAATGGCCCTTATTTATGTAAGTATACCCAGACGCACCCGGCACTACGAGCTAATCGGACCAATCAAGCTGCGTCAGAAGCGGCCTTTCCTGTTTATTATCGGTTCAGCGATAGTAGAACACGTATAGAAGCATGAAACACCATGACGATGAGCTTTTGACGCTGTCTCATGGTTCCCATCAACTCGTAGAGTCAGCTGCGTCTGGACTTGCGTGTAAATAAAGTATGGCGTGCCTATACCACGTAAGCGGCATGAATCGTTGGCCTCGTACTATTTCACTTATATGTCAAAAGCTGCTACCATCTCTTGGTTGTAGCGTCGCCCCGAAGTCTTCCATTTGCACGCGGCAACGTTCGGCAACAAATTCACGTAATCTTTTGCCCCTTTACTGGGGTAAGGTTATTCTTTGAAATTTTGATACACAAAATTCACCACTTCGAGTCACATCTGAACAACATCTCTGTCCTTTCAATGGGCCAACGATCCATTTGGCTACTTCGTCCGGCGACAACTGCGCTTTCAAAGATCTAATTCTGTGAAGATTAGGAAAGGACCACGTTAGACGATAGCATGGAGCAACTTCTTGGAATTTAGTAATGCATAAAATTTAATTATTTGTTTCTTTTTAGTATCGAAACAATGGCTAGGGTTTTGAACCGTGTATGGTCGGTGGCATAGAAGGAGTTCAGGGGAAGCCCACCTTTTTTTACTTTA